TTTTATTATAAATGAAAATATATATAGAAAAATCAAATAGTTGATAATAAAACCTCTCACATCTCAGGGCATGTCTGAACGTTCTCTCTATCTCTTACGATACCAACTATTGATTCGATTTCAATCGATTCTTCCCTATTTCAGCTCTCATTTATACTGCTGGCTTTCGCCGCTGTGCTGAACGAGATTGTGTTGTCATTCGTCCATGAGCGTGTGCCCGAAACGCCTCCACTGCCCGATATAACATTTTCGTTGATACCGTACTACAAGGACGGTCTAAAAATCTGCGAATATATCATGCTGGCTTCGTTCGCCTCCGTTCTGCTTTTGATGCTCTTCCATCGGTAAGTTATACTTCCAGTTGCTCGCCATTTATGCGGAGACTGTCGCATAGCATCTGGACATACTGAACTACTGGAGTCTCCCTACCGCACGCATGTTGGCTGCGTATTGCGTACTCAAACCACCCCATACTTTTTTTCTACCCGTAATAATTTCAATGAGAAAAAGTTTCGAGTTTCGCAATCCTCAAGCGTATGGGGCGTTTTTGCACTTGAAGAAGGATTACGCGATAAGGTCGAAGGGAAAAGCGGGAACAGTTGAGGTGTTTCTATCAAAAGAGGATTCCACGATAATGTCAAAAATCGAAGTAGGGGAACCTACCTAGTGGAAGAGCAGGCGGACTCTCCGAAGGTGCGGAGTGGCACGCAATTCGTGGCGAAGGATATGCCCTTGGCGATCTAGCTTGCACGCGGCGCTATCGGCGCGGTACGCCCCTCTCTCGCTATCTGAGCCTCTAGCCGTTTAGCAGAGAGAGCGTTAGCGTTGAAGAGGGCAGCACGATGAGAGTCGCATCAGTGCGGAAATCAACGGGCAAGGAAGGGTCTCCATTTCTCGGGTCTAGGCCGTTTCTCAAAGTTTTTCTTCATCCCTGGCACCACTGACCACTCTACCGTAATTTTAAGGCGCTGCCTTCTAATCATAAGTTGCACCTTTAGGTCATCTTGAGTAGCTCATTGGATTCTCGCCTGCTACTCTCTTCTGAATTATTCACTGGCGCCGCTAAGTTTTCGCCACGCTTCCTTCTTATAAATATTACTGCGACCGCTAATAAATTAGAACCTGGTTTTCACAACCTTAATGTTTCTTATAAAAAGTAGACACCTTGCAGTGTGTCGTAGCTGTAACGTTCACCTGGAGGGGTTAAAGATTTGTCATAAAGCGAAATACATCTCAGAGCGAATGCGCCTTATATGTAAGCGAGTACTGAGTACTAAGCTTTTGAACGGTTGTTCTGCGCTCGCAGCGTCTGTTAATAGTGTCGAGTTACTGTTCGTCATTTACTTACCCAAGCCGACGTCCGGGACATCTGAACCGTATTCCGTAGAAAGAATTTGATTCTCCAGGACTGTTAAGACCACTCCCCGAGTCGGCTGAATGCATACCACAGTTTATTGACAGGAGTCGAAGTGCTACTCGCTAGCTCCTGCAATCCATTGTGTAGGTATCCGCACCAAAAGCTACTCGATTTTCAACCGGAGGTGGAATGCGTGTCACATCCCAAAAAGATTGACTGAGACCTAATACTTCACCGTTTATCCATTTGATGCTGAAAGCGTGTTCACCTGCACATTACCAAGGGGTCGATACGGTTCTGCGGAGCGATCGATAACCATAATTTTCCAGGCATCGATGGATCATGTTCCGGCGATTAATGATGGTGGGCTCATTGCTATATTTGATGCGTTGCGTTACCATGATCGTTACACAAGTGCCTGTTGCCGATCCGAATTTCCTTTGTGCACCAAAATATGTGAGTTTTTTCTCCATTTGAGACAGGTGGTACGACGAAGTGGAAGTTGAAGGAAGGGGAATCCATCCACTGTCGAGAAAGGCATGTCCTGTTAAGTCAGCGGGACGGGGCGCGTTTCGCTGCGGAGGAAGCGCTCGTGGGCCTAACAGGGCTTTACCCGCGGCACTGTACACGCCCGTCGATGGCCCCCGGTTGCTGGTTCCTCGCTATCGGTCTCTAGCCGTTTTAGCGGAAAATCAGAGCAGAGCGTTCAAGTTGTGGCGTCAAAACCACTAGGACTCGCCTAATGTGGGGAGCAAGAGTCATTTTGCGTGTTCTAGGCAATTTCCCGAGGCTTTTCCTCAATGCTGTACCTCTTGGCGCCCCTACTTCTAAAACTGTCAATAAAGAAATTAGCATGAAATGATAGCGCCACTTTGTACTACCGGAAACCAAGGTCTCTTCGGATAAGCTGACCCTTGCATCCTTCCACCCCTTAGTACTTGTTACCACGCTAACCTGATTGAAAAGAAGCGCTAACAACCCCATCTCCTCTGGGTTCCACAGGCCATGGAGGTGCAAAGAGCCAAAAAGGCATATGAATGCTTTATTTCTTTCAATGGAAAGTCGACCCGAACAAAATGATCAGTTGGAGGCAGGATCGACCTTCAGTCTTTTGTTCTAAAAGGAATTCGCGCATTTTTGCTGAACTGCCTGGTCTTCTATGCCGAATATAGAAATGCGGTACCGTTTGACTTTAGTGAAACGCACAATTTGCTCAAACACACCGTAAAGTTGGTGTGTCTTACGTGACAATTCTGCTGGGGCTTAAATTTTTGAGTCGTGTACTCTGTTTTCTTATGTATCTGTCAAAAATTAGTTTCGAATTTTCAAGTTTTTTTGTATATTCAGGTGACCAAATGCGTGACCAACGTTTTTGCGACGTTCTGGAATGTGGTACTGCGTGGTTTGAAGATGGTGTCCGGCGTAGGCCTAAACGTTCGTGGCAAATACACTCTCTGTGGCGACTACATCTATAGTTATGTGGGCCCTACACTATTTTACTCGCTCTCGCTCACCACACTTTTCATTGCGCGAATGTTGAAGTTGTTCTGTGAGTATCGGTTGGGTGACTTCCCTGTATACCAAATAGAGCATAGAAGCCGTGAAGTCTTTGGAGTTTCTTGCACCGCACCTTCGAAGAATTTCCCCTTTCGACAGTTTTCCGCGATTTGTTTTCAGATTCTCCTCGGCGATGGCGTATTTTGCACATATTCTCCTGGCTGGTCGCCCTCGTTGGTGTCGTATTTCTGGTGATCTCACGCGGTCATTACACTCTTGACGTCATTCTCTCGTACTTCATCTGCACTCGAGTTTTCTGGAACTATCACACAATGGTGGCGCATCCCACTATTCGGGTCAGTAAGACATTATATAAAGCTTTTCGCGTTCTGCGTCCTTTGGACGGCTCTGCCCTTGGAATGGCTACCAACCATACTCCACCGGGCCTTTAAGTTGCCTCCACGTCAGAAAAATTCCTCGCAGACGTATATTGAAAAGGACGACTTTTCGGTGCACGGTTAGGTCCTTCAGGAGGTAATTCTTTCTCTGAAAGTGACGGGGGAGCAGGAGTTCAAAAAGGTGATGGCACCTTGAGCCCGCACCGTCTGCCGGGTTACTGTCCGCAGATAAAGATGGTCGATGATAAGAAGCTAATGCTTTAGTTTGATGTCGCTCGCGACCGGTGCTATCTGTTGTTAGCGCATGCGCCCATTCACGCACGAAGTGCTCTCCTACATTCCCTCTCCCAGCTGCGCTTTCTCTCCTTCCTTCCACGGTGGACTTCCCACGAAATATTCCAGTGTTTTGCATGATGCTGTTTGCCTCCCCCCAGTTCCCTTTTCACTTCTCATTTAATTTCCGAACCACCGATTCCATCGCGACCTGTGCCTTTAAGGGAGTCTTGACAAGACCCCTCCACCATCAGCCTTGTGCGACGGAGAATGGGAGGGGCGGAGGGGCGTGTGCGAGACCCCATAATTTATCACCTCCAACGGCCCTGTTCCTTGTATGGATTCGTGTAGACCCAGTCGGACACGCTCACCAGACGTCCATTTCTCCATTTCACAAATGTTCTTCCATGGATACGGCCACGAAGCAGAGGGTTTGGGCGGGGAGGGAAGGGAGTAGATGTGTTCGAAATGAGAGAAATACCTGGTTTTCTCTATTTCATACTTTTTCTTGAGCTTTCTGCCAAAATCGTCGAATGTCCTGTCAACAACAAATTCCGAGTACGAACGTTCTCCAAGATTTCTGTGCAACGAACTATTAACCATGCTTCCAAAACGTCGCAGTTGAGGTGTTTCTATCAAAGGGATTCCACGATAATGTCAAAAATCGAAGCAGGGAAACCTAGTGATTAGGCCAGTCGGACTTGCAAGAGCGTTACAATACTGACAACGGGCACCCTTGTGTTGCGAATATACGTGCCTCGCGGCGGATCTACAGCACCGACGCCGCTCAACCCTTCCCTGATGTAAGTCGCCGCTGCCGTCTGCCCACCCCCTCCTCGTCCGTGCCTAGACCCAGAGGACAGAGAGGGCGTACGGTAGTGTCAGCCACCGATCAGGCACATCTACAACGCGCAAAATTCTCAGTTGGCGAAAAGGCTAGGGGGCAAATTTCTCTTAAAGGTTCCGAAGGTATGTGTTCTTCTTGGTTTTCTCTTTCATTCCTAAACCACTGACCACTCCTACCTTAATTTTTTGTGGGCTGTCTTTTCTTCGTAAACTCCGCCCTTAACAGAACCTTTTTTAGCTATCAACGCAAAATCATCACCGCAAGGAGTTTTGGTTCCCGTTGTTCCGTTGGATGGAATGCAACGTGTTGAAGCCGATACCGCGACGATTCGACTGTCCGTTGCCGAATGGGTCGAATGCGATCTGTGTTCCGACGACGGGTAGCGAACGCACGAATCGAGTAGTGCAATGCCAAAAGGCGAGTCGCGCGGATCGCTGAACTGCCATTAATCGCGATCATTCCTGACAAAATCGCTTTTCTTTTCAATTAAATTCTAGACTTCTATTCATGTGCCATGCCATTATGCAGACCGGTGTAAGCGAAGCATTGAGGTGCTTAAGCTTTTGTCTTCAGTACCACATTTGATTGACTTCGCAACTTATTAATATTTCTGACAATAAGCGCATTTTGTTGCTACATAGTAGTGTATTATACCGTAGTCATTTAGATTCTGGTTAGCTTTTAATCGATTCCATGGCAGATTTGAGTCTTGTTGTCAACTTTAACTGTGAATCGGAGGCGTTAACGATTGCTCATGAACACCACCACTTCCAAATTAGCAGAAATTTATTGAGAATAGCTGATTTTATATTTCGCAGTGTCGGTCCAAAGGTCCGGGATGCCCGATAGGAGGCCCGTCGCGCGGCAAGAAGGCAGAGTCAGCGGACGAGTCGCAGCGCATGATGTGCGATGTAGGACGTACAACATGTAGGACGTACAGTGGTACACTATATTTAACTTGACGCGAAATCACTACAGTACGCGCTGCGACTCGTCCGCTGACTCTGCTTTTTGCCGCGCGAATAGCCTCCTGTCGAGTACCCAAAAGTCCGTTCTGCGAGAGCGCCGCAAGTCCCGGCGCGCGCGGTGATAATCGCCACGCTCGCGGAGCGGCAACGTGGACCTCTTGGCCGGCGCCTGTGAATTTTACAATCGCAGCTG